TGGAAGAGCGTAGTCAATGTCACTGAACTGTGCATGTAGAAATTTTTGAAATGGTGTATCTTTGGCTATGTATATTTTCACCAAAAAGAAAAGGTCGAGAAGGGAGAGGGTTGACATGTTGTGGGGTTGTTAACCAATGTCATAAAACAATATGTGTACTACTGTTTCATGAGAAACTCCTTGTTCTGTAAGCCTTCACGTGAAGTACAATAAAAAATTAAAAAAAAAAAAAGAATTTTATAGGAGTTCTGATGGAAGAGGTGAGATCCAAGACGGGTATTTAAAGTTGGGATATGTGATATTTCTCTGGGTTAAGTAACCAGTGGTACTATGGATTTATATTAGGACTTCCAACTGGTTCATGGCCAACTAAGTGAAACCAGAAGAGACCCAAATTTTTACAATTTGGGTAATCCAGAGTGATAACCTGAATGGGAAAAATTACTGGTCAAAGCTCTGGAATGGGAGACACAGAAAAGGTCTGGTAGTGGGCTCTGATGCGTGAGACTGGATTCTTGGCAGGTCTGTGGAGAGCAAACCACATTCAAAGCAGCACATTCGGTCGCCGTCTTTGAGCAGGGCACCGCTGGTTTTGACTCTGCTCAAAATCCCGGGGGCAAAAGGTTTTGTTACTATGCAATGCATATGCCACCCTTGTTTTCTAAGAGAGAGATTAAGTTTCTAGCTATGACCTGTAATTTTTCCTGTTCTGGGTATCATCTGGTTCACCCAGAATGTACTCCATGTAGAATGGAATTTTAAAAATTCGGGTCTGTTCCAGTGCTGATTCCTCGGTCATTACTGAACTAGGGAGAGCCAGTTCGAAGCCCTGATGTATACTCTATAGGATCTGTGTAATAATCTGTTTGACCACTAAAAGTAAGTAAAAGAATTAGTTGGTGAGGCTGGGTAATTCATCATGAAGTCAGGTAAATGCAAGCAAATACGGCTTTCACTCTTCCGTGTCCAGGGAAAATCTTCAGTTTAGCTGGAGTTTGAGGCTTTCGCCTAAGACTGTGATGATAAAGATTCCAGGAAGGATGGAAAGAACTCATTCCCCTCAGGGGGAACTACAGCTCCTATATCTAAGTAAGCCTTTAAGGCCCAAATGTTGGTCTTGGGTACAAAGCTGACTGAGTAAACCCATCTCTCTGAAACAGATAGCCATGATTTGGCTCATCAGGCATGTTGTTGTTAGCTACCGTCATGTTGGCCCCTGACTCATGGTGACTCCATGTACAATGGAACAAAATACGCCCAGTCCTGCACCATCCCCGTAATTGGTTGTGGATCGGACAATTGTTATCCATAGGGTTTTTTTCCTAATTTATTTTGTTGTTGTAGAGAATATACACAGCAAAACTACACCAATTCAACAGTTTCTGCTTGTACAATTCAGTAACATTGATTACATTCTTGGAATTGTGCAATCACTCTTACCCTCATTTTCTGAGTTGTTCCTCCTCCATTAACGTAACTCATTGCCCCCTAAATTTCCTACCTAATCTTTTGAGTTGCTGTTGTTGATTTGACCCCATATAAACCGATCTTGAAAGAGAACAATGCAAAATGGAGACATTCTTTACTAGTGAGTGAGAGTTTTATTAGCTGATTTTTAGAAGATAATCCCTAGGCCTTTCTTCCAAGGCTCCTCTGGGTGAACCTGAACCTCCAGCCTTTCAGTTAGCAGCTCAGTGAGTTAACTGTTTGCACTACCCAGAGTCATCTTTCGTCAGCTATACACATTCATTTAGTTCTCCTTACTGACCCATCAAAAAACTTTTTTGGAGTTTCTGGCCAGCCCCAAAGTGAATCAGCCACAAAAGCTCAAACCGTTGATCTCGACAGAGAGAGGTCTGAGAGCTCGGAAGGTGAGTCCATTCCAGACCTATCTCTATGAATTAACTATTTGCCACCTAAGAAAAAAATGAGATTACTCTCATATTAATAATCCAAAAGCTTAATGTTTCTATTAATAGTCCAAAAGGAACTTAAAATTAGATATTGTACTTGAAACTAAAAGTTGCATTGTGTTGTGAAAGTAAACTCTAAGTATGCTGATAAGAGTGATAATATAGCTACTATTTATTGGGAGTTTATTGCATGTCTGACACTCTGTTGTATGTTTTATATACGTAATCTCACTTAATTCTCACAAAATTTATATTAGGAAGAAGGTGTTGTCTCAGGTTTCAAGATAAAGAAATGTGGCTCAGAAATTTCCTATGACCGAGTTTAACAAGTAGCAAGTTGCAGAGCCAGGATTTGAACTCATGTCTCTCTGAGGCCGAAGGCCAACCTCTTTCCATTATGTACACTATCTTTCAGACAGTGCTGCCTCACAGTCTAATGATGCTTTAGTTATATAGTCAGGTACACCAGGAAGTTGACTGAGTTGACAGTTTTATTGCATGTATGCACATTAACATCAACCAATACTTATTCTTTAATCCCATGAAGTCAATGAATGTTTTGCAAGCAGATGGGCTACAGATTCAGAAAAATCAATGAATATTTGAGTAAGCAAGTGAATTATGAAGAGTAAAAGCATTATATGTGCTTTTTCTTGGAAGTAAAGAGAAAGCTATAGTGTTAATAAAACAAGCCCAATGCTAATGACTTAAAGCCCCCCAGAGTAGAAATCAATCTGGCTATAAGGTACATTTTTCTCATGCCATAAATATATTTCCCAATAGAGTTTCTTAATTTTGACATTCAAAATGTAAAATCCTGTTCATGGCTCTCTTTACTTTCAAATTCAAGGCCAGTTTACCTTCTAGTCTCTTCTCATTTATTATTCACAATCAGTATAAAACTTAGTTTGCCTTGTTTGCACGTTCTTCTGTTCCTACACACTTTAAACAACTCCTCTCACTGGAAGATCTTCCACTGATCTTACTTTTTTATCTTTTCTTCCTCATGTCTATCAGATCTCCATCATACTTAGCTTCCAGGATCTGAAATTCCAATTTTGCCTAAAGCCTTTCCAATTAATTAGATATAAAACCACTATAGTTCTTCTATGGAAATCATCTTTTCTGTATAGCCAAAGGCTTTACCAGTGGTAAAATGTATTCATTTTGGATATAAACGTAATTTTAGCAGTTAGGTTGCATTTTACATTGTTTTTTGCTGTTGTGAAAAAATTATAAATATCAAAACATACAAGG